TTTTTTGGTCAGTGAAACGTTTAGCTTTCTATAGTTTGCAAGGACAAACTAAATTTCTTTATTACACGAAAATGTAGGGAATAAAATAATTGTACAGATTCGTTAATTTTATTAGTATCACTTTTCAATTTTAATTCTAAATTTTGAAATTGTGCACTTTGATACGATACACCTTTTGATAAAAATCTCTAATTTCGAAAATTTCTAATTTAAAATCTGTTTAAATTTCTAATTTAAAATCTATCTAATTTCAAAATTTCATTTTTATATATTTAAGTTGTCTTTCTCTAGAATAGAAATTACAAATAAAACATTGTATTATTTTTTTTATTATAGTAACATTTTTATAACACAGAAACCTTTCTCGGTAAAAATTCAATTCTTTGTAAGTAGCATTTCTGTTCCTGCTGCACGTTACAATATTAAAAAAGAAGGAATTCTATTAAATCTCCCAAGATTAGACCAGACTCCAAGGGAATCCTCTGTGAATTTTTCGCCGTCAAATAACTCCCGAATCAACTGAGCCCTTCTTATTGTTAGAGTTGATAGGACAGTGTAACTGGTTCAAAGGCTTCCCCGTGTTCTTTAGCTCCGGCACTCGAACGTGACAATGAGGAACACATAATGGTCGTTCCTCGAATGGTTCTCCATGGTATTGTCGTTCGCGATATCGTTTCAATCTGCGTGTTCCTTGCCCGCGTGACATATCGCACGTTTCTACCACGTCGTTCGCACAAAGGAACCTGCCGCAACGGTGACACGCACAAGTGGCTTCCGGCTCTGACACATTTCGAGGTTCTGTGAGAATCGCTGCCAGGGAAAATTAGCGGAATTGCAATTTAGCTCCTTGAAAGACAATTTAGAAGAAATAGAATCAGGATTGAGGAATATGTTCGTTTAATTTTGCATAATTTTAATAAAACGACGGATAAATATAATATAAAGCTGGTATTAAGAGCTTGCGTTAACCCTTTCGCTACTAGAAGCAACGATTTGCGAAATAATAGGATTTAAATAAGTAAAATTTTATGAAAATGAAATTTTCAAAAATTAAATCTTACAGACTCATCATTTACATACGAAAGGTAGTTTTAAGTAATTAATTATTAGAACGTGATGCAGGTTTAAAAACTTGAAAGAAAAGCGAACAAAAATTTTTCATTTTATCGTGAAGCAAACTCGATGTACAAATATTTAACAATTTTTCAATAAAACTACAGCTGAAATATGTACTAATTAACAAAGTAAATCGAGTGACATTCACTTATAGCGATTACAATCGTGTATTCCTTATTAATATTTCCAAGCTCGAATAAACATTTACATTAACATTTCTCCTTTTTTTCTTATACTTGGAATTAATAAAACAGTCAACTCCACATGCACAAATAATTTATTTGAAACAGAAATTCTACATTAAAAAGACAATATACATGTTTTTTTTTTTTAAACAATCCGTACTGTATGGAGAACAAAAAAAAAAGAGAAAGTGAAAGAACCGACGAACTTGCATTACAGTGAAGAAAAAGTATATAAAACGGTGCTTTGTATTCATACAGGCGCAATGCAGGATTCGTGTCAAGCGTAGGATTATTAGATTGATGAAGTTGACATTTCCATTAAGCGCGGTGAAGTAGTCACAGTCACCCTTTAATCCGCCATTCAGTTTTCACTCGACGAACGATCCACGCAATTTCTGGCAAGCTGGGAAAACAGCTGTTTTTTTCTTTTCTCTCGACGACCCTCCGAGCGAACATACTGAATGGATCAATTTTACCTGGTTACAGCGTGCATAGCGTCGTACGCGACGGCAACCGTGATGCATTTGTGCCATGGGAAACGTCGTTGCTCAGTGGTGGCAAACAGTTCGACGTTCGGTGAACCCTGCAGTCCAGAAAGCAGAACCTACTTGAAAGTTATTTACACGTGTGGTGAGTTTAAGTATTTTATTGAGAAAGCATGACACTTTTTTCTTTTAATTTTGCTTAATTATATTTTCATATTATCACAATATTTATCATATTGATGTTCGTAATATAATTTTGACATTTCAGAGTTAGATTTGTAATGATATTATTGCAATGTTTTTGAAATTAGGGATGTTAGTATTTATGACATAATTTTGAAATTCCGGAGTTGGGTTTATATTCTTAAAATTGAGAGTACTTTTTTATTCCCAAAATTTTGATAAATGGAAATTAGCATAAGGAGAATCTTAAATTTTACAATTTTCAAGGATTGCAAAATTAGTAAGTCATTCTGTTTTGCTATAAGATATTCAATGAAAATTAATATAACATCATTCTACAATTTTTCAATTCTACCACGAACAAAGAGATCTCTCGATCAATCGACAATTTTGCCATTCGAGCGTTTCATGCAAGATAATATTGAACAATGTTATTCATTAATCTAAAAGCCACATACACGTTCACATCCTAAAAACGTTGATTAAACAATGGCAGTTAATCGTAGCTCTTTACAATATTGCTATTCGTCAAACATATCGAACATCGCAAATATTATTCCATGCTCGTTTATTAACGTTAGATTTCATTTCACGATGTACAATCCATTGTACAATCCGGTTGCAAATACTATAATAGAATGATCGCTGTTTCAAATTTTTGACGTATTATATCCGAACTAATTTTTAGGTAAATTTTATACGTTCCTTTTCTCCGTGTAGCCGGATAGGTTATTGTTTGCAGAACACGTGAAATCAATCGTGAAACGTAATAACGCGCTGATCGCGGGATATTCGGGATGAATTTGGAGATTTTTCGCGATTGACCAACGGAGCGGAACGTTTGTTTTTCGCGAAAACGTCGTCATCCCTGTAATCTTTTATGAAACAGTTCACCCGGGGAAAACTGTTCGCCGCTACGTAATAAATCACCGCGTATTTTTAATGCACGAGTGAAAACAAGCGCGGAGTTCCAGAAGCGGCCAATTCAATTTGAACAGCGTACAAACACACACTCTCCACTGTTCGACGATCAAGCGATTTTTTACAAACAATTTCACGTCTGAGATGCGTCAATTCGCATCGCTTGATAGGAAAAAATTCGTTCATTTATACGGTTTCATCTGGGCGCTTTGAAGAGGGGGAGTTCGATAGTTTACCTCGATTAATTTCGTTCGAAACGATCGGTCTGTGCTGCACCAGAGAGTAAGCAATGAGATGTTACAGAAAGAAGTATTAATATTTCCGAGCAATTTGTTTTTGGAGAGAGATGTGCAGACTTGGTAAATAGAAATCTGTGAAATGAATAATTAATTATTCATTTTTATGAAAGAATACTATTTAAGAATTTTAAAACGTACGAAGATATATCACTGATGATAAATTTAATCATACAGATAAGTAGAACGTCTCTCAATTATAAACGAGCATACTTTGAAAAGAAAGCTGCTTTATATTTTACCACTATTCATAATAAATTCCACGTTTTCAGTCAATGGACACGTTACATAAAAATTTGTTTCCTTTTACTCGTAGAATCATAAATTTTCACTTGCCTCAAGATCTACTTTATCCATCACCCTAAACATTCAAGTATAATTTAAAGCTGTTTTAGAAACTCTCGTATGAATCTCCTAACCCGCGTACCATAAAAAGGTTACAATTTTTAAGCAAACATCGTCCGAAAGGAAAAAAGAATTAAAGTAAAATAATTTTGAAAATTCACCATGTCATAGGGAAAAGATATTGTATTAACACGTAGATTCTAAATAAGTGGATTACTTTGAACGTATGTCTGCAAATATTTTATCAACCTTATTTTCCTTAGCTTTCCAAAAGTGAATGCATTTAGAATTGCTCCCTTCTTCCGCCAAAATTGTCAATTGTCAATTTTCGAGCTGACGCGAGCCACGTGACCGTTTAAGATTGACAAAGGTTGTCTGAATTCGCGGGCAGCTTAATGAGCGGGCAACAGAACGTTCACAGCGGAGTTAGAAGTCCACGTTAATGCCGTCGATTGACCTAAAAAGCTTGAGAACGATTGACGCGGGCCGCCGGCTCGCGGGAAGTTCCTCTGATGGCTTTTCACTCCGGATGGCTCGTTTCTGTACTTAATGGCCAGTCAGTTTCAACGAAAGGACCGGCTTAATAGCCATTGTTTGAAGCGGTGGCAAGTGAATAATGATCGGTCGTATTCCATCCGATAGTTCCACCAATGCTAACCTTCAATACCTAGGATTCGCCGATTTTCGAGTATGCTAAATGGAAGAGACTCTTTCCTAAAAAAATTTCACCATTCGTTACCGTACCAAACGTTTCAACCGTTTCGCGGAAATTCTTCGCGGTTGTACTTTGGTTCACGTTTCACGGTAAGTGTGAAATTGTTGGTGTGTTGCTTAGTCCAAGAATTACGCGCGAATGTGACGTAAATCGTGGATGTTTATGTGAATTCGGTGACAAATGGTATTTTCAGAGAGAATGGAATGCTCGGAATAATTGTTCGCGGATGCGGAAGGATTTTGAGGTATGCTTGCGCTCAGGATTTCGAATTTATTGTTCGTTATACGGTGATTTAGGCGTGTTATTTACTATCGTTTTTATTATTTTTTTTTATTTGAAAAAAATAGTTAATAAGGTGGTTCTTTTAGGAGAGTAATCGTTCTTAGGGTACGTAAGTGAAATGATACTCTTAGGGTAGTTACTTAACAACCATTATTTACACAGCAGAAAATTAAGCAAAGTCTGACGAAAAAGTCGACAAGTAAATGAGAAAATACGTTATACTAGTTGCGATGTATCTCAAGCACGCGGTGAAACAACAGCACTCTGGCCAGCACGAGAATTCTTGGAAGCTCTTTGAATAATGAAAACCACCATCCCAGAATTTCATTTCCCTGAAGCGATTAAGCATACTATTTCCTTTTTAAATAAACCAACAAATTAAGTCTGCCTCTCGTACGTTCTGAAATATTCCACGTCGTACAAAACAAACGAAAAGATAACACATGTAGGACGAGAATGAGTGAGAGAGAGAGAGAGAAAGAGAGAAAAAGTGTCAATAAACAGTGCCTGGCTCGAAGGCTCGGTTCCTGCGAAACGGACTCCCCACTTCTCGATTAACGTACGTTTCGTATTTGTGTTCATTGTCGTCTGTTTACTAGCTTCAGTCGAGCCAATCACATTTAACGCTGTTCCTGGTTCGTTCGACCCTGACAGCGAAAAGGTATAAGAATGCGTGCGGAAACAGTCTTAAGCCAGTACAGTATCGGTATCAGTGTCGTGAAGTGTACAGTGGCGTATCGAGAATTGTACAGTGGCGTATCGAGAATTGTATTCTATTCCGGCATTCGGCAACCGTGAACCTGTATCGGCGATTAATAAAACTACTATTCCTACATATAACTATCGTTCGCAGAATAACGAAAGATCAACGACAAATCGCAGAATAAAGACACGGAAGGAAGCATCTCGAAAGATCAGTGAAAAACCCTGTAAGACGTAATTTCCATCGTTCCAACTTCGAAATTCCATTAAACTCCGGCAAATAACGAGTAGAATGATCCCAAGGAGAGAATCTTCTGGCAACCGTCGAAAGCACGCGTCTCGGAAAAGCATCCCCTTTTCCAACCTTTCGAGAAACTACACCCGCGACTCTCCTCAGCGTGCAACAAGAAAAGAAGTGCATTCGTTGTTGAAAGGAAGAAAGTTCGAAGAAAAAGGAGCTGGTTGACAGTGTGTGTGTGTGTGTAGAAAGAAAAAAAAACAGAAACTGGTTCGAGGGGCAATTTCGTAATCTCGAGTGGCGTGTCGCGGAGCGTGAAATTTTTGAAAACATCCCCGTATCTAGCCACGGGCCACTAACGATTCCCAGGGGACAGTATCGTTCTGCCATCCAACCGGTGCGTTTCCGCGAAAAATTCCAGAATAATGATACCGCTCGGCCTTTAACGAGCCACCGCGTCCATTCGACCAAGAATCCGCGTCCGTAACGAGCCGTCGCTTGTAACGCGAAGTTATTTCATTGTGCACGCGACACAAGAAGAAATGGTCGGGTCTCCCTCTCTCTCTGTCTCTCCTTTTTCTTCGTAACTGGGTTGAAAACTGGTCCGGATTCAACCGCGGACACTTTTAATGGCACTCGTCGTGCAACATTGTTGCGCGGTAACGACCGACTGCTCGCATTGTCGGCGAGTTTATGGCGCCGCACTGGGATCACGGGGGATACATCGGGCTGCCGGAAAAATGAACCTCGTTAGGCTGTTTCTCCTTTGGTTCTTGTCTTCCTTGGTTTCCCTTGGACCCACGGACAGAGATAGCCACGGTGGATTTGCATGTGAATGCTGGGTGGATGTTCGTTGTATCTGATAATTGGCGGTATGACGGTCACCGTGGGTGTAGAGTGTTGGTATTGTTGCTGTGAAGTGTTGAAGGTGAAGGAAACGTTGGTGGATTTGCTGCGGTTGTTTTGGGGGGAATTAAATGTGGTGGAATGGTGAGTGATATTGTTTGTTTTTAATGATAGATTGGATACTGGCTGGTGTTTCTTTTTTTAAGTGTTGAAACTGAGGGAAATGGAATTAAATGTGATAAAATGGTTAATGATATAATTTCTTTTTAATAGTGTTTTTGTTGAAAAGTGTTGAAACTAAAGGAGTTGTTGGTAGATTTGTTGTGGTTATTTGGTGATATAATTTGTTTTTAATAATACAGTGAATTAAATACCTCAAGATTGTTACAATGAAATACTTTGTTAATACAATTTCTAATTTGGTTGAAAGAGTTCTATCGAGCATCTACAAATTTATTTCTTAAAATTATACAGAGAATTCTTTTTACATACAAAATGTATTTTACGATCAATTATGTTCATATAGATCATCCAGGATATAATTACTTCTATTGCGCAAGCAATGATCGTACTGATCGTAATGATCGATTAATCAGTCAGTTTATAGCGAAACGATT